CAAGTGCTAGGACTGTTTTAGGTACTAAAGCTTTTATGTGCGCTGCTCCTCTGGCTTGGAACACCATGCAAAAAATATTGAAACTGAGCATTTTGATTCCCTTGCATCGTTTTAAAGCACGACTGGATGAAATGTTATTGGATATCTGTAAATGTAAATAGGTTGCTAATGTATACCCCTGTAATTATGTTGTGATGTCCTTTTGTTTTCTGTTTGTTTTTATATGTGTAACTAATGTACCGCAGGTCTCCCTTGAAAAAGAGATCGTTGATCTTAATGGGATTTTTTAACCTGGTTAAATAAAGGCTACAAACAAACAAAAGTTTGCCCAATAAATGCTTTTGGTGTAACAACAGTACACCCCTTTATCTAGTTATATTGTGATGAATTATTTTCTTTCTTTTCTTCCCAAAATGTGTGTGAGATTCAGTCGGTGCCTAAATAGAGAGGACACTGAAGCCAACATGATCCAGATAATGTGTTTTATATGGTATTACGTTTTATTTAATGCTCACAATGAGATTTCGGCAAAATGATCATCCATCCATCCGTAATAAGACTTGCTTATTTCATCAATCTGAACTTAAAACATACTCTATGAAGCAAACACATCGCAGTCTAAAGCCTCTGCTCAGCACAGATTACATTTTTGCAAACATGTGTTGATATTTCCGACTCAGTGTTCATCTCTGCTGTCTCTGGTCAGGTGGAGGTTCTCCAGGAGACGGCGCTGCTGAGGCACAACGAGCTGCAGACGGACAGCTTGCTGCTCGCTGGCCTGCAGAAGAAAATCAGACCGCTGCTGCAACACAACAGCAGCCAGGAACACATCGTCTCTGCAGCGCAGGTCCATACACAGATACACTCTTACTGATCATTATTTAGCTACACCATCATTTCATCTGTGAGTCTGTGAAATACAGATTAAGGCAAACATAGCAAAAGAACATTGATCTAATTTAGAGAAACAAAACCTCTTTTTTAAACCATGAAGTCTGGAGGGTGAATGTTTAGCAAAACATTTTCACACACAAATCACATCAAATATAAGTTGGCTGTCAGTGAAACAAAAACCCTTGAATCTTTCATTATAACCTCTCAAATCCTCAACATCAAAAAAGTGTATATTTTACACACTCTGGAGTCTTTACAAATCATGTCAAAGAAAAACAAGATTTACGTTGGAAATAAAAGATTAGACCCTTCCAGGCTTTGACAGATTATTTAGTAAGAACCAAAAACCACATTACATCATACAATGATTACATCCTTTCACACCTGATAGGTCACAGACGTCCCTTTAGTTCAAATGACAGCTGCAGTTAAATCATTACCTCTTGTGAAATCCAGGTAAAGGCCTCTGTGGAAGCTGTGTTTGTGTTTGTGATTGAAAGTGAGACAGTAGAAAGAGTTCATCTGGATCCTGCATCACTTTGATCATGCTACCCGTGTGTCTTCAGAGGACGCTGAGCAGGCAGGAGGATGTCCTCTCCACGCTGCAGCTGGACGTGCAGCAGATATCTCGGGGTCTGGGTTCTGGTCTGCAGGAGCTGGAGGACCTCAGGAAGTCTCTGGATGCTGTGATTCAGGAAGTGTCGGCAGCCGAGGCCCTCAGAGAACACCTGGGTAGCTAAACAAAGGAACTTTTGTCATTTTTGAAGCGTGTTTTCAATCGGTAAAAGTAAAAAAGCTAATGTTAATCTAGATACGAACTATACCAAAGTCAAATAACTTCTAAAAAGGTGGTCGAAACATCTAAAGGCGGACTCGTTTTCACCGTGATGAAGTTTCACAGTCCCATAAGCCAATTGTTAGCAACTGCTATTTTTAAAACACATAAAAGCTTCAAAATGCACAAGTGAGGTATAAACTTAGCGTATTTTATGTGAAGGAAGAGAACATTAAAGTCTCCTAAGTTATTGTTACTCAAAAACCCATCGACTTCAAGACAACGGAACCAGAAGTGCTAAACTGCTAACTCATTTTCATGTTTTAGGACTCATTCCTGCAGCTCTATACAGTATAAGTTACTCACAGTATGTTTTAAAGGGGCAGTTATTATTTCCCTACTCACCCCAAACATGAGATGTTTCCTGTTGCAAGAAGATGTAGTTCACAGTCCGAGGTTTAAGACCTTGTGGTTCACTAAAAACTGCTTTCCTTTCCTTCCTCCAGGGACGTTGGAGGAGAATATGAAGCGTCACTCTGGCCTCCTGGATATCCACGCCACTCAGCTCAGAACCCACAGGGAGCACCTGCAGGAGCTCGAAGCCACTTCAAACGACGGAAAACTCATCTGGAAGATCGAGGACTTCAGGAACAAGAGGGAAGCCGAGGTCAAAGGTCATCCGCCCTGCCTGAGCAGCGTGCCGTTCCACACCGGACCGTGCGGATACAAAATGGCCTCCAAGGTCTATCTGAACGGGGACGGGGAAGGAAGAGGGACTCACCTTTCTCTTTATGTGGTCCTGATGGTGGGAGACTTTGACGCTCTGCTGCCGTGGCCTTTCAGACAAACCGTGGCTCTGTCGGTTTTGGATCAAAGCGGTGCCGGAAACCACCAAAGTCTGAGCTTCAAACCCGACCTGACGTCCAAAAGCTTCCAGCGACCGACAGACGAGTCGGCCGGTAACGTCGCTGTAGGATTCTCGTGCTTCATTCCACTCATCAAGCTGGAAAAGCCTCAAAATGCTGCGTATGTCAAAGAGGACACGATGTTTGTTAAAGTGAAGGTGGACATGGCGGGTTTAGAGCAGCTGTAGTCGTTCGGCGCTAGTTACCGTGTGAATGATTAGTTTTTATAATTTACTGTTGCGCCCTCTGGTGGTCAGTTCAGGAAGGACACTGTAGTACAATGCTATATAACTAATGCAATTTTCACTGATTGTTTTATTTTTCAACAGAAAAGTGTTATTTAAAGTATTAGTTTGACATTTCAGGAAATGTTATCTTTCTTTCTGACAGATTGATACACCTCTTTTTGCCAAAAATGGTAAACTATTCCTTTAAGCTTTAGGATCATTTCAGGGATCGTCTAGAGGTCCAACACCCACAAAAACTGTGGTAACTCATAATTTATTTAATGTCCGTTATCTTAAAATCATGAATTTGTTGTCTGTGAAAAAGTATTGCTCGGACGAGGTTATTTAAATCCATCTTCCACATGATCAGGACATCTGCAGATATTTGGTATCGATCCGGACTTAAAAGTGTCTTTGTTCTGAGAACCAGGAGAATATTCAACACACAGACATTTATAATCAGTACTGTGTATTATCTCAAACAAATAGTTAAGAAATTGTCTTTTGGGAACATTTGTTATTTAAAGAAAGTGAGATGACATGTTAATGTGGCAGCTAATGTATTATTCAAGACTGATTGATTTTGTTGTTGTTGTACGCAATAGAACTGGTTGATTAAACTGAACACGGTCAAAGAGTCAACTTGCCTGAACTTATTTGAATATTGTTTAACAGTGTATGAAATGACGATGTGTTGTTGAGGCTAGACTCTGACTTGTGATTCACGAGTTTTGAGCATTTTCCCTTTGAATAGAATATAATACTCATCACTATGTTCTCAATAGTTCATAATGACTTAAAATGGATTCCTTTGAATGAGTGCAGTGGAGATAAAGGAATATGATCGGTCTGGTGTTTTGTGTTCATTAACTTTTTCTATTTGGAGGGATACAGGTATCCAGACTTGCAGTACCATCTTGTTGTTACTGTAATGTTCGGATGTGATTGTGGTTTAATCAAATTTGAACAATAATCAGCACTGATACAAATATTACAACGTTCCTTCATTCAGCTAATTGTACAAAGAGAACATAGCCTAATCTGATGGCTTCAGTTAGATTCATGTCCTTTTACACTAAAACAGGATGTCGAAACAGTGTACTCGACTGATTAATTAAACATCTTGATGGTAAATTTAAACAAAAATAACTTGATGTAAGTTATTACAGTAAATAAATAATAAATAAATTGCTATTTTTGTCATTTCACAGTACAGGTACTACTGTAACGAAATTGTTCCTCTGCATTTGACCCATCCTAGTGTTAGGAGCAGTGGGCTGCCATTATGTCTGGCGCCCGGGGAGCAGTGTAGGGGACGGTGCCTTGCTCAGGGACACCTCGGTAGCACTTGGTCTTGCCGGGACTCGAACTGGTGACCTTCCAGGTTGCCAAGCCAAGTCCCTATGGACTTCGCCACCACCGCCACCCAGACTCCACACAGCATTCTCGTCTTTTTGTCATTGCTGGTGTCATTTTCTGGTTGCTAACGCCATTGTAACACATAAACACTGATGTTCCGCTGTAACGGTGGTGGACTCATCAGAACAGAGTGCTGACCAATCAGAGCACAGCCGTTTAATAATGAATAATTCCTTATATTTATTATAGCGCTTTTTCCATGACCCAAAGCGCTTTACAGATACACATTACACATTACACACATACATATAACGGTCATGTACTGTGGACAATACCCACAGGAGCAAATTCATGTGAAGTGTCTTGCCCAAGGACACAACGCATCAGACGCCGCAGCGGCGGGTTTCGCCCCCTTGATCTGATGATCAATGCACAGCCCACTGCGCCACACCGCCCATCTTCACACCTCAAAGTCATCAAGGCGCTTTACAAGTACACATTAGTATCATACATGTACTGTGGACAATACCCACAGGAGCAAATTCGGGTGAAGTGTCTTGCCCAAGGACACAACGGCCTGACGCAGTGGCGGCGGGAGCGGGTTTCGAACTGGAGTTCCCCAACGCCCCCTTGATCTGATGATCAAACGCACAGCCCGCTGCACCACTCCGCCCGTCTGTTTAGGACAGAGAGTGAATACACATACTATACAGAGATACTGTATGAGAAACCAATGTGAGTTTGGAAAATGTAACAATGTAAATCTATTCTAGTCGACCTCAACAATGGAATTATGATCAGTAGAAATGGCCATGACATGGGACCTTTAAGTTCCAAGTTCCTCCAGCAATGCAACATAAATATATATATATATATATATAAGACATAAAACAATAAAGAAAAACATATATACAGATCACTTGTAATAAAAGTTTCTAGGATTACCACAACAAAAAATATAACAGTTCATTACATGTAAAAGCACTCTTTAGGCAACCATACTTAACACTTGTAAATGTAAGGGCTTTTTCTACAATGAAACCTTCAAAGAGAGCAGATCCTCTTTTAGAGATGTCTTTTATTTCGTATGTTACACAGTTGTTCCCTGATACGCTAAACAGTGTTATGATAAGGACAGCGTTTAAGTGAGGCGAAGATCCTAAAAGATACCACTGATTAGCACTCTACGTCTCGTACATTGCAGGGTATTCATTTGGGTGCAATAGATGCCAGCAAATCCATAACACTGAAGTAACATTCACACCTGTGTTTCAGTTCATTTGGTCCAGACCAAAGGAAGAACATTTGCTGTTGTTGTATTTAAGTTCTGGTCCAGTTCATATATCACCAATAAATCGCTTTGTCACAGTTGGTGTGTTAAGTTTGTAACTCGTTTTCTCCTGTAAATGAGACGGCAGCTTCAAAGCAAATTATCCTGGAGTGAGGCCAGAAAATCACGTCTTCTCTCTGAGCCATCTGACATCTACAAAGACAAAGAATTTGGTTTAATGTCATATAAAAAAAGGCTGTTAAAATCATACCTCACAAAATGTTGGTGTGTACTTTTTGTTTCTCCCTATTTTATCTTATGTGGTGAACCTCTCAGCTCCATCTTAGGTCCTATACTATTTTCCATATTACATGCTTCTACTGGGGTTTACTTGAAATTAGTTTTTATTAATTCAATGCTGGCAACATGCAGCAATACTTGCAAAGTTCCTCAAGTCTCTGTGAAGTTGTTTTGAGGAAACAGGAAAGCAGGGTGGCTTGGTTGATTATCGTTCCATCCTTGCTTGTATGTTGTCTATATGCTTGCCGAAGGTTTGCTGTTTTATAGTTAGTATTTTCCCCTCATGGCCGAGGAGCCTACGGGGAATGGGCTTGCTGCTGGTCCCAGGCCTACATATAAGTAGTCTCACTAAATAATAATGATATTTTTGATGTGAGGTGCAAAGGAGAGGGTGCTATCCAGTATGACACCGTGGATCTTTACTTGACTGGAGAACGGTACGGAGAAGTTATCGATGATTATCAATCAATCAATCAATGTTTATTTATATAGCCCAATATCACAAATGTTACATTTGTCTCAGTGGGCTTCACAGAGGTGATTATGTTGGAGAAGGGTAGGATTGAGCTTTGTTGAGGGTGGTTTTGGATAAGCAGGGCTCCTGTTTTGCCTCCATTGAGCTTCAGAAAGTTCCTGAAAATGGTCACTAATACCCCAACATTTTCTCTACACACTTGAATGTGTGACACAATTTGTTTCCCTTTTATTCAAAGGGTGACAATGGCAACAGCACTCACTTCAGTCTCAGGTCTGTGGCTATCCCAAGAGCATAGCCACAGAAATGTTTTGAGCATCACCATCTTGGAGGTTATTCTTATGTCAGACCCAGGACTCTCAGATGGGGGTTTGACTTCAGACTTGAAGTCAGTGCAGCACAGCCTCTCTCAGTAATCCAACAGTTAACCAGTCTGTTGAGATAAAAAAAGAAAAGTTTTTCAAGTGGTCACATGTTGTGGCACCTCCAGACCCAGACCTGTGGGTTCCAGTGGCTGAGCTGTAGTTGCAGTTTTAGTCTGATTTAATATGATATTTGATTTGAAAAAACGAAATACATTTAAACATCCTGACAGTAGACCAGTCTGTTGAAAAAAAAAGGTTTTAAATTAAAAATAGTCACATGCGGACCTCTGTCCCTGTGGCTGAGCAGTCTGAGTCTGACCAACTAGATAAGTCTCACCTTAGTATCTTCAGTCTACACTGGGGTTTCCTCAGCCAATAAGAAAGCAGGATTGCCTCCTCGTCCATCAGATGATTGTTGCTCAGGTCTAGCTCTTTGAGAGCAGAGGAGCCGCTGAAGGCCAAGGTCAAAGACCGGAGGCATGCAACATTTAACTTGCAGGATTTCAGGCTAGAAAGACATACAGTTTTACAATCAGTGATAGTTTTCTGTGGTTACTTTATTGCGGAGAAGTATACATTTAAAACTTAAAATAATTTACGGTTTATAATATGCTTTATTGTTATTGTGACCAGATCTAGTGTTTTTTATGTATCGATAGAGATAATGAATGAGAAGGTAGCAAAAAACTGTTGTAATAATATAGAATATGTCTTCGAAGGAGAAATAATAATAATGACAAAACACTTGAAAGTGTTGTTACAGTACATGTGTGTTCAACATGATTGTATTGTCTTAATAAACTTAACGTAGGAACTTTAGTGGGGGATGCATTTTTTCCATTTGACATAAATTGGGATAATGAACACAATACTCACTCCAGTGTCTCCAGTTGACAAAGTGGATCTAACAAGAACTCAGAAAGTTTTTCAACAACACCATCTTGGAGTTTATTATGTGACAGATCCAGGACTCTCAGGTGGGCGGGGTTTGACTTCAGACTGGACGCCAGTGCAGCACAGCCACTCTCAGTGAACTCACAGCTAGCCAGTCTGTCGGGGAGAACAGTATTATTTATACATGATAACCTGTGGCTAAATAGCAGCTCCAGTCTGACCAACAACAAAGTTATCTTAAATAAAAAACTAGACACTACAGGTATATTATTAACATAAAAGGTGGCCAGGAAAGTAAGCATTACTGGAAATGATCTGAGAAGTCTCACCTCAGTATCTTCAGTCTACACTGTGGATTTCTCAGTAAATCTGAAATCCAGATGGCCCCCTCGCCCATCAGGGAGTTGAAGCTCAGGTCGAGCTCTTTGAGAGCAGAGGAGCCGCTGAGAGCAGAAGTCAAAGACCCATAGCCGACTGCCGTCATCCAACTGTGGTTCAAACTGGAAGTAGACATTTAAATAAAGTTTTTTTGTTACAGTTTTTCACTTTTTGTTGAAGAGTATAAATACAGAAGGAAGGGAAAAAAGGAAATGGTTAATAACACAGTATGAGGTACTTTTCAGTAGATTTGTGAATAAAGTATTTGTTAACCAAAATAACTCCTGCAGACCATGGGGAAGCTGCTGAACGAACATATTTTCTGATAACACATTGAAACACATGTAATAAAATAAAATACAAATAATAGAGAAATGTGATAATGCAAACAGAACTCACTTCAGTGTCTCCAGTTGACAAAGTGGATCTTCCAAGAACTCAGAAAGTTTTTCCACACCACCATCCTGGAGGTCATTTTGTGCCAGATCCAGGATTCTCAGGTGGGCGGGGTTTGACTTCAGACTGGACCCCAGTGCAGCACAGCCACTCTCAGTAAACTGACAGCCAGCCAGTCTGTCGGGAGAACAGTATTATTTATACATGATAACCTGTGGCTAAATAGCAGCTCCAGTCTGACCAACAACAAAGTTATCTTAAATAAAAAAACTAGACACTACAGGTATATTATGAACATAAAAGGTGGCCAGGAAAGTAAGCATTACTGGAAATGATCTGAGAAGTCTCACCTCAGTATCTTCAGTCTACACTGTGGATTTCTCAGCAAATCTGAAATCCGGTTAGCCCCCTCGTCCATCAGGTGGTTGTAGCTCATGTCGAGCTCTTTGAGAGCAGAGGAGCCGCTGAGAGCAGAAGTCAAAGACCCACAGCCGACTGCCGTCATCCTGCTGCGGTTCAAACTGGAAGTAGACATTTAAATAAAGTTTTTTGTTACAGTTTTTCACTTTTTGTTAAAGAGTATAAATACAGAAGGAAGGGAAAAAAGGAAATGGTTAATAACACAGTATTAGGTACTTTTCAGTAGATTTGTGAATAAAGTATTTGTTAACCAAAATAACTCCTGCAGACCATGGGGAAGCTGCTGAACGAACATATTTTCTGATAACACATTGAAACACATGTAATAAAATAAAATACAAATAATAGAGAAATGTGATAATGCAAACAGAACTAACTTCAGTGTCTCCAGTTGACAAAGTGGATCTTCCAAGAACTCAGAAAGTTTTTCCACATCACCATCTTGGAGGTCATTATGTGCCAGATCCAGGACCCTCAGGTGGGCGGGGTTTGACTTCAGACTGGACCCCAGTGCAGCACAGCCACTCTTAGTAAACTGACAGTGAGCCAGTCTGTCGGGGAGAACAGTATTATTTATACATGATAACCTGTGGCTAAATAGCAGCTCCAGTCTGACCAACAACAAAGTTATCTTAAATAAAAAAACTAGACACTACAGGTATATTATGAACATAAAAGGTGGCCAGGAAAGTAAGCATTACTGGAAATGATCTGAGAAGTCTCACCTCAGTATCTTCAGTCTACACTGTGGATTTCTCAGCAAATCTGAAATCCGGTTAGCCCCCTCGTCCATCAGGTGGTTGTAGCTCATGTCGAGCTCTTTGAGAGCAGAGGAGCCGCTGAGAGCAGAAGTCAAAGACCCACAGCCGACTGCCGTCATCCTGCTGCGGTTCAAACTGGAAGTAGACATTTAAATAAAGTTTTTTGTTACAGTTTTTCACTTTTTGTTAAAGAGTATAAATACAGAAGGAAGGGAAAAAAGGAAATGGTTAATAACACAGTATTAGGTACTTTTCAGTAGATTTGTGAATAAAGTATTTGTTAACCAAAATAACTCCTGCAGACCATGGGGAAGCTGCTGAACGAACATATTTTCTGATAACACATTGAAACACATGTAATAAAATAAAATACAAATAATAGAGAAATGTGATAATGCAAACAGAACTAACTTCAGTGTCTCCAGTTGACAAAGTGGATCTTCCAAGAACTCAGAAAGTTTTTCCACATCACCATCTTGGAGGTCATTATGTGCCAGATCCAGGACCCTCAGGTGGGCGGGGTTTGACTTCAGACTGGACCCCAGTGCAGCACAGCCACTCTTAGTAAACTGACAGTGAGCCAGTCTGTCGGGGAGAACAGTATTATTTATACATGATAACCTGTGGCTAAATAGCAGCTCCAGTCTGACCAACAACAAAGTTATCTTAAATAAAAAACTAGACACTACAGGTATATTATTAACATAAAAGGTGGCCAGGAAAGTAAGCATTACTGGAAATGATCTGAGAAGTCTCACCTCAGTATCTTCAGTCTACAATGTGGATTTCTCAGCAAAGCTGAAATCCGGTTGGCCCCCTCGTCCATCAGGGAGTTGTTGCTCAGGTCGAGCTCTTTGAGAGCAGAGGAGCCGCTGAGAGCAGAAGTCAAAGACCCACAGCCGACTGCCGTCATCCTGCTGTGGTTCAAACTGGAAGTAGACATTTAAATAAAGTTTTTTGTTACAGTTTTTCACTTTTTGTTAAAGAGTATAGAGTGGCGAAGTCACGCCCACTTACTTCCGGGTAATGGGACCTTATTTCGGAAAAATTATGCATTGAAGTCAATGGGGAGAGAAAACTTATCTTTCGATCCCGTTTGAATTGTGCCATGAATTACACATATGATGTTTGTCAATCTTAAAAAATCCTTTCCATGTCAAAAAAGTCACAGTTTGTCGTAAAACTGTTGAAATATAAGACTATGAAAAATACGTAACTAGAAAGACTACAAATCCCCATTTTGTAAGTGATGTCACAATTGTTTTCCTCCACTAAGATCTAAGATCAGCGCCATATAGATATAATCTATCTATATGGCGCTGGCTAAGATAAGATAACTTTAACAATATGCCTGTGTGCTTAGTACCAGGTTGTTATTATACCAGCAATGGGTCTTGCTCGTTCTTTCGCTTCCCGTCTGATGAAAGGACCAGGAGTACTCTGGATCAAGCTAGCTAGTAGCTAGCACGTTAGTTAGCTTTACAGCCTTGTCATTTTTATTAGCCTTAACATGAAGTAACATTAAGTAACCCACAATGTTAAACAGTAAGAGTAGTAGTCATATTTCGTGAACCCTTTGAAGAGTACTGTCACCGGTGTGATCATTCTATAATACACAATTTAAGCCCGGGGGAGAAATGCTAACGCTAACGATCTTCTCTACTTCATGCTATCTGCACAAATGGTTGACATTAAACATTAAAATGACCAGGCAGTTCAGAGAGAATCAAAGGAAGGCAGGCAGGCAGCTTTGCATGACATTCTTCAGGACGTGTTTCATTGTGGTGATAGTGAGTAGTCAATCGTTGTGTTGACAAGACAGTAGTGACGGCCATCTTGGTGACGTGTGTTGTTGACCAGAGATGTAGTTCATTGAGCGTTTCACACAAACAAATGTGTTACTTCACAGTTTTACGACACATTTTTTTTTTTTTGACTTGCAAAATTATCTTTTAAATTGACAAACAACATATGTGTAATTCGTGGCACAATTCAAACGGGATCGAAAGATAATCTTTCTCTCTCCATTGACTTCAATGCATAACTTTTCCGAAATAAGGTCCCATGGAGGTCCACCGGAAGGGGAGGGACTTCGCCACTCTATAAATACAGAAGGAAGGGAAAAAAGGAAATGGTTAATAACACAGTATGAGGTACTTTTCAGTAGATTTGTGAATAAAGTATTTGTTAACCAAAATAACTCCTGTGAAGACCATGGGGAAGCTGCTGAACGAACATATTTTCTGATAACGCATTGAAACACATGTAATGAAATACAAAATAAATAATAGAGAAATGTGATAATGCAAACAGAACTAACTTCAGTGACTCCAGTTGACAAAGTGGCTCTGCCAAGAACAGAGAAAGTTTTTCCACACCACCATCCTGGAGGTTATTTTGTGCCAGATCCAGGACCCTCAGGTGGGCGGGGTTTGACTTCAGACTGGACCCCAGTGCAGCACAGCCACTCTCATTAAACAGACAGCCAGCCAGTCTGTCGGGGAGAACAGTATTATTTATACATGATAACCTGTGGCTAAATAGCAGCTCCAGTCTGACCAACAACAAAGTTATCTTAAATAAAAAACTAGACACTACAGGTATATTATTAACATAAAAGGTGGCCAGGAAAGTAAGCATTACTGGAAATGATCTGAGAAGTCTCACCTCAGTATCTTCAGTCTACAATGTGGATTTCTCAGTAAATCTGAAATCCAGATGGCCCCCTCGTCCATCAGGGAGTTGTTGCTCAGGTCGAGCTCTTTGAGAGCAGAGGAGCCGCTGAGAGCAGAAGTCAAAGACCCACAGCCGACTGCCGTCATCCTGCTGTGGTTCAAACTGGAAGTAGACATTTAAATAATGTTTTTTTGTTACAGTTTTTTACTTTTAGTTAAAGAGTATAAATACAGAAGGAAGGGAAAAAAGGAAATGGTTAATAACACAGTATGAGGTACTTTTCAGTAGATTTGTGAATGAAGTATTTGTTAACCAAAATAACTCCTGCAGACCATGGGGAAGCTGCTGAACGAACATATTTTCTGATAACACATTAAAACACATGTAATAAAATAAAATACAAATAATAGAGAAGTGTGATAATGCAAACAGAACTAACTTCAGTGTCTCCAGTTGACAAAGTGGATCTTCCAAGAACTCAGAAAGTTTTTCAACATCACCATCTTGGAGGTCATTATGTGCCAGATCCAGGACCCTCAGGTGGGCGGGGTTTGACTTCAGACTGGACGCCAGTGCAGCACAGCCACTCTTAGTAAACTGACAGCCAGCCAGTCTGTCGGGGAGAACAGTATTATTTATACATGATAACCTGTGGCTAAATAGCAGCTCCAGTCTGACCAACAACAAAGTTATCTTAAATAAAAAACTAGACACTACAGGTATATTATGAACATAAAAGGTGGCCAGGAAAGTAAGCATTACTGGAAATGATCTGAGAAGTCTCACCTCAGTATCTTCAGTCTACACTCTGGATTTCTCAGCAAATCTGAAATCTGGTTGGCCCCCTCGTCCTTCAGGGAGTTGTTGCTCAGGTCGAGCTCTTTGAGAGCAGAGGAGCCGCTGAGAGCAGAAGTCAAAGACCCACAGCCGACTGCCGTCATCCTGCTGAAGCTCAAACTGGAAGTAGACATTTAAATAACGTTTTTTTGTTCAGTTTTTGACTTTTTGTTAAAGAGTATAAATACAGAAGGAAGGGAAAAAAGGAAATGGTTAATAACACTATGTAATAAAATAAAATAAAATAAAAATAATAGAGAAGTGTGATAATGCAAACAGAACTCACTTCAGTGTCTCCAGTTGACAAAGTGGATCTTCCAAGAACTGAGAAAGGTTTTCCACACCACCATCTTGGAGTTTATTATGTGCCAGATCCAGGACTCTCAGGTGGGCGGGATTTGACTTCAGACAGGATGCCAGTGCAGCACAGCCACTCTCAGTAATCTGACATTCAGCCAGTCTGTTAGGGAGAACAGTTTAGGTGGTTACATGCAACTGATCCAGATCCTGTCCTTTGACCCTGTTGCTGGGCTTTTTAAACATGTTGGTTAGGCAGAGATGAGTTGAAGTTGCAGAGTAGTTTAAGTGTTTCATTACTTCTAAATATCTGCACTGGTAACCAGACTAATTCCTGGCTTTATTTCTCATCCACCAATACATTCATGAATGCTGGGTTTTCCTTCTTACCAACTATTTTGTCACGTCTGACCCAGGTACTCTGTCCTTTAATAAACCCTTTCCTCAAAGTGTCATCAACTCACCTGCTCACCTATCATTGCTTCGTGAACAGATTTCACAATCAGCAGACCCTCTAGTTGTTTTGTCATGCTCAGAAGCAGACCATGACCATGACAGACTGTGTTTGGTCTGTAGGGTTCAATTGACAACTTTTACAACAACCAAAACAAACTGTAGTAACCAGGCAAACAGACCTGAGTTTCTTTTTTAACTGAATCATACGGTGAGGTTTAAACGCACCCCAAGTGTCCCACAGTCCTTATTTATCATATCATAAATCACCACACAGATACTGTGCATATGGATCTCCTTACCTGAGAATCTTGAGTTTGCAGTTGGGACTTCTTAGTCCATCAGAGAGCAGCCTCACTCCTGAGTCATGCAGACCATTTCTGCTAAGGTCTAACTCCTCTAGACCAGAAAACATCGAGCTGAGAACTTCTGAAATGTACTTGCAACATCGGTCTGTGAGGTTACAGTCACTTAGCCTAAAGTGAAAAACAAAAAGCCTTTTAACATTTTGCAGATGCGCCCATCTGTCCTTTGATATCTTTACACAATCTGAGAGCTTCAGATACATTGTGTTCATTAAGGTAAACTACTTACAAAGCTACCCTTGATGCTTTTAGGACTGGCAGCAGCCTCTCCAGAACTTCATCTGATCTGTTGTATTTCTTCAGGTCAAAGACATCCAGGTCTTCGTTGGAGACGAGCAGAAGAAAGGCCAGGGCAGACCAATGTGAAGGTAAGATTTGACCAACATCTCCTGATCTCAGGTACTTTTGGACTTGCTCTAACAGAGACTTGTCTCCCAGCTCATTTAAACATTGGAACAGATTCATTGTTTTGTCGGTGTTCGACAGTTTCCTGATTTTCTCATGAATGAAGATGATTGTCTCCTGGGTGCTCTGTGGGTATCTTTCTTTGAATCCAAATACTTTCTGAAGAAGCTTCTGATTTGAATCTTGAGACAGACCGAGCAGGAAGCGCAGGAACAAGTCCCATTGTCCATCGCTGGCCAAAGCAGTATTCACAGCTTTCGTGTGGAGGAGGAGGAGAAGAACTTCTCCTGTCTCTGATGCCACCTTTACACGTGTCTGACTGGAAAGCACATTTTCTCCACTATTTAAGAAGGTCTCTAGTACATACAGAGCTGCCAGAAACTCCTGAACACTTAAATGTATGAAAGAGTAAACTTCTTGTTTGTGAAGCCCCCCATGTTCTTTTCTTATGATCTGTGTACACACTCCAGAATAAACTGCTGCTTGTGTCAGATCAATCTTACAGCTTTCCAAGTCCTTCTCATAGAAGATTATGTTGCCCTTCTGTAGCTGTTCAAATGCCAGCTTTCCCAATTTCATGATCACATCTTTGTCTGTTTCAACTTCCTGATAATCCTTCTGGTTGTTAAGCTTTGTCTGAATGACCAGGAAGTGTGTGTACATTTCAGTTACAGTCTTGGGCAACTCATCTGTGTCCGTTTTGTTAAGGAGATCCTCAAGAGCTGTGGCTGTAATCCAACAGAAGACTGGGATGTGGCACATAATGTACAGACTTCTTAATGGCTTTGACATCAGATGATCGAGGATCTTCTGAGCTGTGTCGTTGTTGCAAACTTTCCTCTGAAAGTATTGCTCCTTTTGCTTATCATTAAAGCCTCGTACCTCGGTCACTCTGTCGATGAACTTGGGAGGAATCTTAGCAGCTGCAGCTGGTCGCCCGGTGATCCAGATCCAAGCTTTGTGCAGCAGTTTCCCTGAGATTAAGTTGGTTAGCAGAACGTCCACTGTTGTGATCTTTGTAACGCTGCGGCACATCTCATTGTTCTCAAAGTCAAGAGGTAGTTTGCTTTCGTCTAGGCCATCGAAGATAAACAAAACACTTGAATTGCAGTAGTCTGAGTCTGAGAAGTCCTTCACTTCTTCAAAATAGTTACCTATTAACGTCATAAGACTCCAAGGCTTATCTTTTATCAAATTCAAGTCTCTGAATGTGAATGGAAATATGAACTGAGTGGTTTGGTTGGCTTCTCCTGCTGCCCAGTCTTGAAGGAATTTCTGCACAGCGACAGATTTTCCAATGCCAGCGATTCCCGTCGTCAGAACTCTTTGTGGAGGGTTGTGTTCATTTGAAAAAGCATTCAAAATGTCATTGAGCTGGATTTTCTTCTCCTCAAACAAATTCCTTCTGCATTCTAATTGAATCACTTCATGTTCATTATTGACCTCCCCACTGCCACCTTTTGTGATGTAAAGCTCTGTATAGATCTCTTTTAAAGGTGTCAATGATCCATCATCCTTTGTTCCTTGATAGAGATTCTTTGTTGAATTTTCAATGTAAGATTTCAGTTCAGCTTGGCATCTTTTTATGTTTGCTAAAAGATGAAAAACATCATAAATTCATTATTTTCCTGTACTTTTACAAGATAAAAAATACAGTATGTTTGTTTATTTTAAGGACTAGGTTTTCAGACAAACTACAGCAGGCAAAACACAAGAACCTGACCAGATCATATTTCAGAATGACTAGGACAAATCTTCGGTCAGTACAAGTGCAAGCAGAATTTGTAAACAAAAAATGAAACACAGCACCCTAAATGGATGGATAATAAATATCAAAGGTTAGCATATATTCCAATATATCACAAAACATCACATTGAATATAACATGGACAGATGACAGAAATGATAGAAAGAAAAAAAGAAAATTTGGTTTTGAAATATCTGTTTGCACGGAAAATACCTTTGTTTTGTGAAGAACTGGAATTTATGTTGTCCGTCCTATCAGGAGCCTGGCCTAAAACACAAACATGCAACATCATTTGTGAAATGCAAAATCATTTAAGGCATGTTTGGTCAGATTTTAGGGATTTAAATAGTTAGACAGCAAGATGACATTGTATTTGATTTATAAATTCAAGAGAAACATACCATATGTGTTGATGTTTACTGTTCCTGCAGAAAAATGTGTAAGCTGAGGTTGGTTGACAACACTTCTATCCTGGGCAATACCTGTTGTGCTTCCTGCTCCCCTCTGGTTTTCAGCTGATTGAGAAAAGATACAAAAAAGAACCAAGAATGAAAACCGTCAACATTTGAACTGTTAATAAGTATATTTTTTAATACATTTTTTTCCCCATAAAGACCGCCTCGCTGCACATTATCCCTTGCATAAAGATAGATTGTGGGTCCCTTATAACATGTTGTACACAGTCGAAATAAACATTCTGGTCACCTCAACATCAGGGATCTTATCAATTAAACTCAAACCGTCACGGTAGCCTTACCTTACTTATCCCTCTTAAAATAGAAAAAAACACGTGACTTTACCAGCAGAGAGAAAATGGATTATTAAATTATTAATGTGACTAATAAAGAGCAGTTTGATTATTAAACATTATTCTGTTGATCGATGTCATTACAGTTGGTGAAAAGCACATAATGACTTGTTTAAGACTCGGTTTTTCAAAGTTTAGGACTTGGGCTTGACTTGAACTTGCCCAACCTGACTTGAGACTTGACTCGGACTTGAGCGCAAAGACTTGAGACTTACTTGTGACTTGCAAAACAATGACTTGGTCCCACCTCTGGTTATTAGTCATACTTTTATTGTGCTATTATTGAAGGGGACGTTCGCTACTGCAAGATTACAGTCAAGGCCTGTACTTTATGAAAATAGTTTTGGTATAACTACTTACTCTGACACTATATTAATACAACTAGGCTTGAATTGACAATACATTTAATTTGTTTAGTTTTTTGTCACATTTAGTCATAGCTAAATGTACAGAAATGTGATCTTTGCTTTTAATCAAATTATAAACATTAGGAGCATTAGGCCTATACTGTACAATGCCCGGGAAACCTGCTTAATTACAGGGCCTCACACAGCTTAGTACGGTATAGTTAGGCCTTGGTAGGCCAGGCTCACTTTATGCTGCGTTTCCATTACAGTTTAGTAGCTGGGGCAGTAACTATAGCAGGGGTGGGGAACCTCCGGCCTCCGGGCCATATACGGACCGCGAGACCATTTGGTACGTCCCTCGAGGAGATGTATAAACACACGCAAAAAAGAAAACAATTAAAGAAATCTAGACCGCAAAAAAATTAAACAAGCGAGTGCCTGTTTTTCCTGGCCAAGGTCAGGGTGGGCCTAACGTGTCATCACGTGGTATATGTCTCGTCTGACAGGGGTGTAGTTCTGACGGAGATCACCAGAACGTGGCTCCGGCACTTCAGATAAGGAGTCGTACACATGCCGCAGTTTTTGCGTGGCTGTGTCTTTAGTTGAAAGCCCAGTGGCGATCTGTTCATCTGTCATACTGATCATACAGTCAATAACTTTGTTATTAGCATCTGGTTAGCTAGCTATGCTAACGAATATAAGAAGCTTTTTCTACAACCAGTGAGGTAAAGGCACATCTTTATATGATCATTATAGTTATAAAAAAATAAGAGAATAAAGTAAACAGGTATAAAATACTAGACGACAGTAAAAAAAAGTTGTTATTAATAAATAAAACTAGCGATCTAGTGGCCGGGTCTCAAACGTTTTGGTCACGATTAATGTAAACAATTATTTCCGAGGCACGCGTTTATATGATCATTATAGTTATTAAAAAATAAGAGAATAAATGAAAAACAGGTATATATGAAATAATTAGGGCTGTCAGTCGATTAAAATATTTAATCGCGATTAATCGCATGATTGTCCATAGTTAATCGCGATTAATCGCAAATTAATCGCACATTTTTTATCTGTTCTAAATGTACCTTAGAGGGATATCTTTCAAGTTTTTAATACTCTTATCAACATATGAGTGGACAAATATGCTTTATATGTTTGTTTATTATCATTTGAACAATGACAAATATTCTCATGAATATTAAACACAACAACCTGAACATTACAAATATTCGCCTCAATTCAACCTGGAACCTCTCTCATACAATAATACTTTGTGTGTGTGTGTGTGTGTGTGTGTGTGTGTGTGTGTGTGTGTGTGTGTGTGTGTGTGTGTGTGTGTGTGTGTGTGTGTGTGTGTGTGTGATCGTTGGAGCTATGTGCAGCTCAAGGCATAAATGCTCGAATGGGAGCTGCCTGGACGCTGCAATAATGTTGCGCGCACTATCCGTGCTGAGTGTGCTGACTTTTCGTACAATGTCCCACTGTCTGGCTACCTGCATAAAGTCAAGTGCTCGGCGCAGTTGTCGGCGAAATGTCATTGAAACAGCTCCTTATATCCGTTAGCGCAGCTAGCTAGCACCAGATGCTAACAACAACACGTAAGGTGTGCCTCGCTCGCGCGAGTCGCGCCACACATACACACTCCCTCCCGGTCCTCCCGATGGCCAGTCCGGGCCTGCCGGTGAGCGTGGAAGTGTGGTCTGCCACAAGCGGGCAGCAGGAGCGGGGCTGTCAGCATCAGCTTGTCGATGGTATTTTACACTCGATGCGCTCTGAAACTACGGCGGCCGAGGACAAAAAATACACATGCGTTAATCGCGTTAAAATAATTAGTGGCGTTAATTGTTTTTTGCGTTAACGCGTTATTAACGCGTTAACTTGACAGCCCTAGAAATAATATATGACAGTAAAAAAAGAATAAAGTTTAAAAGGGGAGTGATTTGTAAAATATCCATAAAGAAAAAGTAAATCTGTTTACATTTCTGTTTCATATGGGTGTTGAGAGATGTATCCATAGATCTCTTCATTTTGCTTTCAAAGTGCACCAGATTGATGCTTTTAACTTCAATATTAAAAAATAAATCTTCCCGGGGGAGCATGCCCCCGAACCCCCCTATGTTAGGTCTACTCCCCACTTATAAAAATAGCACTTTACCCCTGCTTACACCTATATGCCGTGAGCTGATTATCGAGCCTGCATTGCAACTGTCACACTGTGTATTTGCGTGGGGATTGTTGCAGTAGAAAATTCCACTGTAGCGCCCGGTACATTAATGGGAAACAATTCTGATCAAAAACGAGAAAAACGCAGCTGAAGGTTAATCCATAGGTTAATCCAATGTGTCTGTCACTTTGAAAAATGATTGATGATCCATAATTCCATTTTTATGTCAAAAATGGAGTTTTCATTAGCTGCTAATGGTAGCTTCCAGAGTGTATGACAGCTTCCTGTTTTGTCTCCTTGGATACGAGTCCAAACAACTCACAGACTGCACCGGGCGCTCACGTAGGAGCCCTGTGACCATCAGATTTGACGACGCTGATTGGGTGAAATTATGTTTCGGCGGCATAGTTTAAAGATAGCAACAGTTGGCTTCTGCTGCACTTTCTGCACTCTCGTCTGGGCGCTGTGCATAGCGCCCAGACGAGAGGGAGTAATGATACACGGGCAAGGCCAGGCAGGAAACATGTGACTTATCAGTAACTTTAGACATCGTAACACAATTTTAAACGAGATTTTATTGTAGATTATACATTTTACTGATACCAATTATATAATATTTACCTTGTTTATTAAAAATAAAAATAAAAATAAAAAAATTATTTTTTAATATTTTTTATTTTTAATGTGGGAAGAGGGGGGGCGGCGCCCCTAGCGCCCCTATGGGCCGGCCGCCACTGCTTACACCTATATGCCGTGAGCTGATTATCGAGCCTTCATTGCAACTGTCACACTGTGTATTTGCGTGGGGATTGTTGCAGTAGAAAATTCCACTGTAGCGCCCGGTACATTAATGGGAAACCCTAAATGTTTGAGCACCCTCTATGAAACGTCAAGCTACCCCACAGCACCCCCAAAATAAATCTCTGGCGCCGCCACTGAGCCTGCAACCCCGTTTTGAAGAAATGTGCAGTGCAAAACAGGCTCATTGCAGCCACTAATGCTGTAATCAGCATTTTCTTTCTTTTCATTTTTTTGCACAGATTGCAAAGTGACAAAGTATTATAACGTATTGTTCTAGCAAAGGGATTGCACAATTGTATTATGTATTTATTTTTTTGACCACACAGACTTATGGAGCATTGTTTTATTATCACGGTTCTAGCAAAGGAATGCTCACGTTCATATTGATGTATTTTAATAAATGGCCCATTACGTGACTATTTCTGTTGGTTTTTTTTCTCCAAAGGGAGGGCCTGACAGAAAAAGTTTGAGAATCACTGCCCTAGTGGAAACGCAACCAAAAACGGGCCGGGTGTGGCACAGCACGCTTAAACCGCGCTGTAGTGGAAATGTGCCATTATGGCCATTATGGCGCATTTCCACTACAGCGTGGAGACATCTGATATTGTGTTGATATGAGTGACTTTGGATAAAAGCGTAAGCTAAATGCTATGTAACTAATGAGTCAGGAAACAGGTATGCAATGGTCCGGTTTCCACCCTCATACATTATCTAATGTAATTGTCTGTGTCACAAAGTCTGAACATTGAAGTCTGAACTGATTCACAAAAATAATTCTCACTTTTGGAAAAAGAGGGCACGGACAGAAAAAGGAATCATCTTACCAAACTTAGCTGTCTCCGGATCCAAAGCTTGGCCGGTCGTAAAGAAGTCTCCCATATTGCATTTCTTCACCCAGCTCCTCTGACTTTAAAAGTCAAGGATAAACATCACCACTAGCTGAGTTAAGAAACGTAATTTAATATAATTAACCCTCTTCCATACTTAGTTCCAGCTGTACTTTCGGCCTACTTTTTAATGATAGTTAAACAACCAGGTAAGTTTACCTTTACGGTGTTACTGCTCAACTGCCACCCTGTTTTGCCTGCCATAGATCATGTGAGGAAGCAGGAAGCGATGCTGCTTTGTGATTATTTATCACGCCTCCTCAGTGCGGACACATCTGCATGTCGCTACTATCCAGTTTTAAAGAAAATAAAGCATTAGCAGAATGCATTTTATTTTTTCAAATTGTGTTGTCCAGCAAATGTAAAATATGATAAGCATAATTATAATAGCAAACAAAAAGTATGTAGGAACATTTAAAAGTATTTAGTCCAAATGAATGTGTGCATGTTGAACATTGTAAGTTGAATGTTATCTAATCAAAAGCAGTGACAAAATAATGTAATGCTAGTTAAACATAATAAACAGTTGTTGTGTTAACAATACAACTTTCAAGGGCTGTTTTCTACGTCCCACCGTACGTCTTCATTTGCCTACGAAATTTCAATACATCGTGAAATTCTAAGGTGGGGGCTTTTACTTTGAAAACTGGTTATGGGCTTGGCTTTCCCAATTTGCCACACAAATGCCCAATCCTAGATCTGGTAAACTATTGAGTTTAGAGTGTCATCATCAAGTTAAAATAGAAGTTTGATTTTTGTTCAGACAATTTGTATATACCATTAAATTATTTAACACTAATAGGGACAAAATCAGCCATTTGAAACGGTGGTGTGGATGTGTAAAAGACACACATTTGTAAAATAAATGTACATTAATTAATTAAACAACCGTATGCAGAAGAATAGTAAAAATTATCTTTAAAAGAGGTCCCATCATAGAGATTGTGCGTGTGTATGTTTTTAAGCGGATTGTTTTATAAATGTGTTACTACCATAGACTGTATATATAAAGGTTACTACTTAAAGCACAGTGAATGTATTGGAGGACATCTGCTGGTTGAGTGGATGCAGTGCAGTTAAATAAGGCAGACAATGGGGGAGTTTTATTTCTCTGTTTTCTCTGAGTTTTATCCACACTGTTGTGTTTTCCTTTTTACAAAAAGCTGAAACTACATTTCCTATGTTTCAAGTGTTGAGACGGTAAGAAGGGATGAAAGGAAAATATGAGTTATAGAAGGAAAGGGAAAAGTGAATGAATGTAAAAGTGGAAGAGCTTTGCAGTTTGAAAAGTGGTAGAAGAAATATGAGAAATTGTCAGAGGAATGTGCGAAGGAAAACAAAGATATGGGTGAAATCATGTCATAGTGTCTCCACTGATGGAGGGTGAGATGCAGCAGCAGTGAGCAGTTATAAAAAGGTCGACAGTGTTTGGACTGTAACTGGACTCCTGCAGGATGAGCTGCTCAGGACCAACAGAACTATTCTTAGACCTTTTGTTGTGCTGACGGTCGTCACGCTGAAAACATGTGGAAGGTCAAACGTGAGTGTTTTCACTGCATGCCTCGTGTTTTTCACTCCGTAAACTAACTCAGAGAGCATGGCTAGATCAACATTATTATGAACCTTTGTATCCTGTGGTTAACTGCAGTTCTCTTTTTCTCCAGACTCTACACAAGGTTTAGATGAAGTGTTTTTGATATGGGGATAATCTCACAGATACAGTTGTATAATATAAACATCGTGTAGAAGGCTGATTCATTAATGTAAAGCCATTAACATTTTCGACAGGAGAGCAACTACTTTTTTAGTATTTTTTTTAGTGATTGTTGGTTTTATTTTTGCATCAATCACAATTTCACAAGTATGTTTTTGTTTTGTTTGTATGTATGCAGCTCCAGTTTATTTTCCCATGGAGATGAGGTACCGGACAATTTTGGAGGTAACATACCTCATGAATATCTAATATTATTCTGCCATATATTTCATATTTACTATTGCACATATCATCTTTCTACACACATCTTATCTTAGTTGTTTATATTGTAGAATAAGATGTATATCTTAAATCAGCCCTGGAGTATTCAACAAAGCATTTCACTGCAAGATGTTGAGTGTGTGAACAATAAAAACCTTGAAACAGTGGAAGTAATGCAGTCATAGATATCTAACACTGAAGACAAACTTTGAATTATGGCTGAGAATTATTTGTATCTCCAAGAAGTGAAAAATGATCCTTGCAGTGAATTCCCTGGATCATCATTTGTTTATTTATTTTTAAACTGGATTTATATGAAGATAAGTAAGCTCCTGAAATCTAACTTGATCTCTTGATCCATTCATATTATAACAAAATAACCTAATAAACACATGAGAAATATCGTTCGGCCATTATCAAGTCTATAATAACTCTTCCTAATCTAATCTACAACAACTTCCTGTTCAGAGTTTGGTCCCCCCCGACCCCATGTCCCAGTTCCTCCTGAGGAGAGGTTCCCCTGACGAGGAGTTCCCTGACCTGAGCAGGAACCACACCTGGATGGGAAGGATCCTCACTGCTGCCATGTACCGCCGCCAGTTCCACCGCTGCACCCACAGCGGGGTGCTCTTTGATGATGTCATCCGCCCGGGCCTCGAGGAACCAGGTGATGTCAGCATGATGTCAGAGTGATGGAGGCTGTAAGAGAATCACAGTGGGATTAAAATAAGGAATAACTGATAGAAGGACATCATGGACATTTTACTTATTAAAGGTCCCATGTCATGCTTTTCTGGTTATTATCCGTCCCCTTGTGTGTCATGTAGCTTTTTCTGCATGTAAACGGTCTGCAGAGTCACAAACCCTCAAAGTATACCCTGTAGCGAGTAAAACTCTAACACAGAAAAGACCTGTCTATGCTGCCCCAGAACGCCTAGTTGGAGATTTCTCTTTTTCCATTGTTTACTTCTTGGGTATAGTGACGTATTTCAGGTATAGTGACGTAACGTAACGTCCGCGCAGCCGTTACGTTTGGACCAATCCGCGGACTTCCTCACACACACACACACACACACACACACACACTCGGCGGGACGTTGCGAGGCTCGCTGCTGCGAGGAGCAGGACAGTGTGAGCTGGCTCACTGGTGTGGGGTCGGCGAGACAGCGAGACACCGCATCACTCAGCCTGAGCACACACACAAACTCCGAGCCAGGCTGCGGGTGTGTGTGTGTTTCGGGCTGGGTTTCGCTGTGTCTCGCTTTCTCGCAGACGGCCACTGGGCTCACAGGGAGGGGGGGGGGGGGGCAGGAGCTCCAACAAGCCGTTTAGGACAGAGAGTGAATGCACATACTTTACAGAGATGCTGTATGAGAAACCAATGTGAGTTTGGAAAATTGCACAATATAAATCTATTCTAGTAGACCTCAACAATGGAATTATGATCAGTAGAAATGGCCATGACATGGGACCTTTAACACGTATACATGTATATACCATTTTGTAATATTGTAGTACTGTATTCAAGAAAAAGTATGAACATTGAGCAGGAGAAGTTAGATGCCAGAAATAGCTTATGAACATTCCTCCCTAATAAGATATCAATTGTCAAACGTAAACAATTGAAAGAGTGCTTAATTCCACAGATTCAAGACAAAGCAGAAATACAAAGTTGATGGAGATGCAGTATATGTTTCAGAGTCGAGAATAACGGTAATGTAGATGTTGAAAAGTAGGTTGTTCCAAAGCGATGGTCTTCTGAATTTGTAACAAGTTTTGACAACAGATAGTATATGTTTTTGTTCTTGTGTTTAAGCTGATCGTAATGCAAACAATAGTCCTGTTTTAATGACGTATTTACAAAAATGACTGATGTTAGCATGAATCACATGAGCCTTTTTCTCTATGTTTAAAAAGCCTACTGATTTTTTATTTGTATTTAAGCAACGTGTAGACAATAGTTACTATCATAACGACGGTTGTTTTAGACAAAAATAATGGTGTATAATGCGGAAAACATTTATTATGTTTTCAGGATAGCAGCTACAGGTATGTATGCGTTTCTTGTGCGTTAACCTGCAGTTCCTTGTGTAGCCACTAGAGGGCTGAGAGAAAACCATACATTTAATCTGGTGAAAATGTACCGTGTAAATCTGTTAGAAAACTCTACAAACAATTTGTTAGATCTGGTAGGATTAAATGTTTATGTCTGTGTGTGTGTGAAGGTGATTGGTGCAGTCCTGCCTCTGTGGGCTGTGTGGCGGGCGACGCTGAGTCCTACATCCTGTTCTGCGACTTCTTCGACCGAGTCATCGAGGCGCATCACGGACACAAGATCACCAGCCAGACGCCAGAGAGCGACTTCAACTGCAACAACTTGAAGGTAGCTGGTCAAAAGAAAACTCTCACTGCGGTTAAACCCAAATTATAGCCTGCTTTGCATTTGGTGTGTGGCGTCTGTCATCTGCCTACATCTGCACCACTCTATGGAGTCTGTCTACTTGACTCTGTGAACTGAACAAGCCAACAAAGATGGGTCACATCCATGTATCCAGTGCACAATTTAGTCTAAATAGAACAGTCTGTGGGTGTTTCTCAATGTCGAGGACGCTTCCTTGGTAGGACATGTCTTCCGAGTCACTTCCTTCAGAAGCGAGGCAAGAATCCTTCCTAGCCTCGGAAAACGAAGAATGGTGGAACAGGCTAACAGGTGTGCAGGTGTGCGTCATATGAGAGGCCCCGCCTTAAATGGAGCGCGATTTCCGCCAAATATTTGGAAATTGGTCCGTGCGCAAAGCATTGTGGGGATTTTAAGACCGCGGAGGATACACATGTGCAGCCTCGAAATTTCTCGTTACGAAGGACGCCGGCCTTGGTAGAATTCCAAGGAGCCTGGACATTGGAACAGTCCTTCGGCGGGACTCGATGACGTAGCATCCTTGAAATAGTGGCTCTGGAGCACCCTTCCTCGACATTGAGAAACACCCCGAATTTAAAAGAAATGCTTGTTTGAGCTCACAAAGTTCTGGAAAAAGAAAATGCTCAACAACAAAATAATTCCAATGCTCGCACGTAAGCTTTACAAGCTAAATGTCAGTGTCACTTTTTCACAAATATGTTTCTGTGTGTATGCAGGGGGGTGAGGACTTGGACAGATCATACGCTGTACGCTGTGAGGTGAGCGTTGTCCGAGGCGTCGAGGGCTT